ACTACAAACGCTCGTTGAATATTAATTGCGGAACCACACCTGGTAGCAACCCGTTAAACCGTCCGTTTTCTGAACACGTACAAAGATGACCGCTTGTAATAATTTTTGCGGTTACAACCCATATTTAAAAAATTGTATTAATTTATATTTTTTGATATCTTCGTTGTGCTAAATGATGAAAAATATACTGGTTAAGCTGACCAGGGAAAAAAACCAGTTTTTATAGTTACCGTTGAAGAAGGGCAGTGTTTATTAAATTGTCATGACACGCTGGTAATCCTCGTATGGCCGCTGGGTCATTTATCAAAAAGCGTCGGTCTATGACGGTATCCTTGGGTGTGCTACGCTAATCCTTGGCGCACGGACGCAACTTTGACTCAAGTGTCTCGACTGACCACTTTATTAAATTGTCTTCAGGAAAATGCGTGTGGTCACGCCTCGTATAAACCTGTTAATGATACCTAATAACCAGTGTTACGTTAAAAATTTAATCTGACGTGATAACACTTTTAACGACGGTGTTAATTATCAAAATAAAAAAGATCTTACTATAACATAGAAAATCCATTGCGATTCTGGCGAATTGGGCATGCGTGAGCTGACCCAGGGTCACCTTTCGATTGAAATTCAATTAACCCTCGACTGAAAGCACGGCAACCCTCCAACCTATCTTTTGTGCTGGATGCCCTCACGGATTACGTTTGCAAATAGACGATGATTGAGAAATTCAAATTTAATATATCCATTCAAACGCAGACCGGTTAATGGAAATTGAAAACTCCAATCGCCAAGTAATCGCTAATAATCAAATGATAATAATAAATAATTATTAGGGTAAAGATTTAAATTTAAAAATCATCCTAATTTATCATATTTATAAGTAAATACGCAAAAACACATTTGTTAATTTATTAATGTGTCGTGACAAAAAAGATCCATACGATCGTCCACAAGAAGTAGCCAGAGCAAAATAAATGACGCCAAGGGTTCCAGAACGTCACTTTTTGTTTAGACGCCTGTATACACATGACGGCGAAGTAAACAGAAACCATAGATACGAGAAAGAAGCGACGGAAGAAGACCGAGATAACTGTGCGGCGTTGGAATAATTAATAAGGGGTGACGATTCGGACACTGTGGATGATATACTGGGATGTTAAGGGATCGGGAAGGTTCTGACCACTGCCCATCTGACCTTTACTCCGGTGAACTGTACCTCCAGCCATACCGAAACCTTTATAAAAGGATTAAGAGATATCCTCCACGCAGTTTTCCCCTTATTTATTGTATATTTTTGACAAAAACTTTTCAGTTAATATAAATTAGTACTAATATTAAATTTTAACGACTTGTTTACCAGATCGTAAAATATATTCTATTTGCATTAAAAAGACCGTTAACCTTTTTAAAACCTATATACGATACTTATCAAACGGTAATTTCTCATGTAAGAAGGGTATTTTATTATAAACCTTGGTCACAATAATAGAAACTGCATAATTACCCTTTAAATCAAGCGTCCCAACTCGCCCGAAGGAATATAAGGAAGACCTCTTGAGGCTACTAAAAGAAGGAAACAATAGTCCTGAAAGAAACGGACGGTAACGAATTTTCGTTATCCTTCTACTTTCTTCTGTGTGGTAGAAAAAAGAATCAAGTCGCAAAAAGATACAAGGAAATAAATAACAATAAGGAAGTCCGGGTGTCTAAGGGGTCACTGGGTTATCCTAGGGTCACTACCTATAAACTGGAGTGGGCTTTCATGCACGGCATTTACCTGCGGTGACCCCTGGGGTGGTCCTAACCCTTCATCTAGTTCGGCCCGCATGGATGAAAAGAAGGACTGCCCGAAAGGACGCCGGACACTTACATGATTTGCAGCACGCTAAAAACTGATACATACGGTTTAAATTGCAGGCCCGCGTCTTAAATTTGTCCGGCGTGCAGTCAACCGGTTCGGGTTTAGGTGCGGCCGCCTTAAAATATTAAATTAAAACGACCATGTCACAAACGGACCCCGTGTTGGACGATGATTTTTTAATTTGCCCTTTCGAAAAAAAGGGCCCAAGAAAACTGTTCTTTAAAGTTTGCCGTAGGGCACCAATGCAACCTTTTGACTGATGTGACAGTTTTATGACCAGGTCTTGTTTTGCATAATCAAAACCGTTTACCGGATCGTAACTTATAACGAATAAATATGTACCCAAACAAGTTAGCTTATTTCAACTTAAATTGGAAACTAGCTCCAGTAATCTGGAGGAATCTTATTATTCTAATTAACGTCCTATTTTATGATGCAAAATATTAGCATATGGTTGAAATTCAAACTACGCCTTCACTCAAACCAAATCAACTATCCCACCGATATTAAAATATGCAAATATTCGCATTTGGACCCATCCGCTTTAAGAATAAAATAAAATTAATAAAATAATTAAATTTTTACACCACTTAAAATTAATAACAACCCCGATTAAATTTCTTCGCCCAAAAAAAAATCTTCAATACCATTGTTACCAATCTAATCAACTTGCTCCGCACAATACAAGTCAGTTACAATTACGATTTCTTATCTTGATGACGATACCTTTGCTAAATTCAAAAGAATCTCACCCGGTGATCAACTGACAGCACCCCATTATTCCAAATAAAATATAGATCAGTTCGACACAATACTCAGCAATGTATCATGAAGGGTACAACTAGAACCCCAACGTTCTCAGGGGTGTCGGAGCATCCATCATCATCAACAATGCAACCTATGTGTGCATCCCCGTGCAGAAAACCTAGGATAAGGTGCACAGCTTCCTCTTAAACTCTCCGGACGTGGTAAGTAAAAGGAGAACGTCCTTCCCCCTTTTTTTTCTATTTATAAAATAACGAAGGGTGAGATTCGCGATTTGTGTTACTATGTCAACGGCCAACGAAATAAGAATGTTGGAAAATAAATTTAAAACCCATAATAAAGTTTAATTTAGTTTAAATTTTTTTTTTTATTTAGAACCCAAATGTTGTTGACGACGTCGAAACGAGAATCATTACAAAGGTGCAAAACCTCATTACGAACGGTCATTAGCAGCGGGCGATGGCGTGAACGGAACAAAAGGAGATACCGCCGAAATATGGACGCGACGTTGCTTGCACCACGATGGGCGACGAAAAAAAAATTGAAAGAAAAATTAAACGAAAAAAAATTTCAAAAGAAAAATTAAAAGAAGAAGAGAAATAAGAAAGAGCGGGGGGACGAAAAGAAGAGACGATCACACCGCCGAAAGAGACTGCACATCTCGATGAAGGCCAAGGCCAAAACGATGCGCCGTCAAGGACGACGCCGATCGCGAGTCTCGTCTGCAATAACAACTTTGGTCGAAATTCGGTCGAGTTATAAGACTTTTTTTTCTGGTCTTTTTTTCGTTCGAGTTTCTGAGAACCTATTAATTTCAAAAGAAGCCGCTTCGAAATAGCTACTACATGCATTGAAATTACTCACCTACATGTAAGTGCATATTGCATTCTGAGAGATTCCAACGTTAGATAACAAAACATTACTTAAAAAAAAATTAAAATTTATCAAAGAATTTTTTTTGCTTAAAAAAAGTATTGTAGCGTAACAAATCCGAAGAGAAGACAAAAAATAAGACGAGGTCGACACAATCGAACGTGGTGTAAGGGTTGATTAGGGTTAAGGTGGTGCGGGAAGAAACGTAAAGGGGTCGGACTCCGGACACAATCGCCGATTGTCAGAGTTAACTGGTCAACTCGGCCCATCTTCGGACCCTTGTCCTTCAATTGCAAAATTATTTTTATTTAATTTAACCATTGTCCGAGTCCAACTACCGGGTTCTTCCCATGGTGAACCCGTCAAAAACATAGGTGTAACGAAACAATGTGTTTTTGTAAAACGAAAAAATAAGGAAGTTAACTTTTGAATGTTCGAACACTTGACAACGTGGGAAATTAAAATTACTACGATACTACAATACCTCGGAAAAAGTTAATTTCACCAAACCAAGAAAGCCATATAGACAACAGTAGTAAAGGAAAATCATTTTTCTTAACTTTTTGATTATGGATATTATGGAAAAACCTACAAAACCTATCTATCGTGAATTATTTGTTAAAGTTCTGGGTATTACTAGCCATAAGGTAGATGGCACATCGTTACATCTATGAGAGTAAGAGTCGATAACAAAAGAGAGGAATTATAAATGGAGTTTCAGTGGTTGCATTTGATAAAGTAGCATTTTATGGTAGTGACGTGGTCCGCTGTAGTGCTTTTCCTAGACTGGAATTAGCAAAAATATCACCACTATTAAGCCAAGATGTAATTTTTTTGAACCAGTAATGACCCAACCTGTATCCAAGAGAATTTTGTATAGATTAGCAAGTTTTTAGGAGACCTGAAGCTAAATACTTGATAGACATTATTATACAGTACAATATTATTATTATACTTCCAATAATTAGCTGTTTTAAGTGCTCTCATTGTCTAACAGCAGGATATATTTGCAAGATACAGTTAGCAAATTGCCACTCCTTCGTTCCTAGTATGCAATAGCACCTTTATTTCTTGGACACTCCTATTTCTTGGTTTTGTACCCACTTCCATTTCTTCACCAGGTGCAGCTTCCGTTCTTCCTCATCCAAAACTAGCAACTTTATATCTGTAAACATCCCTAACAACACTAAAACAAAAAATATAAAATAGAGCATATTATGTATATTTACTTATATTATTAGATAAACGTCACCGAGAAGTTAAGAGATTAACCCAGAGTAAAAATTATTTAAACCTCTTTATATAAATTCCATTCCTTAAAAAAACCGAAGTTATTTTTGTTGTTTGATGTTCAAATTAGCTGTACTATAATAATCAATATATTAACGCCACCTTACAAACAATTGTTCAACTAAATTCTTCTATTTCTAGTTGATAGATGTCAGTATTAAAATAAAGGATTTTTTAAGGACTCTTTTTACTTGTAAATAAATTTAAATAATTTAAAAATATTAAAAAAGTTTTATTAAATTTCAGTCTGCTTAAAAAATTTGTTTTGTTACTTATTTGTCCATACTCCATCCCCTGTAAAATGATGAGATTTTTCTATGATATACAGAATCAAATTTAACTTATTCGTTTCTGAAAGATTTCCATATGACAGATCTTTCATTAAATTAAGAATCCTTAAAGCATCACGTATTTTGCTTCTAAAAAGTGAAAATATATCAGCATTTTTATTACTACCATAAAAAAACTTACATTGGGTATAAAACTATGGGTAAAACGTTTAAAATGGCTTCATTACTAAAATTTTTCTGAAGAAATTTAACTGTCGTTTTAATCTCGAGAAGAGGAATTTCTAAATAATGAGGGTGTTTTTTTAAACCATTTTTCAAAGTATCTTTATCTGCATTTAATAAACCTTTTAATAATAAAATAACATCATATTTTGCGTTCATATCATTTCCAAGTTTCATTTTATTATCAAATAATTCCTCATCATCTTTTTCTAAAGGATTAACAGTAAAGCATTTCAAATCCATATCCTTCATAATAGACATTCTATACCTTGTTCTGTTATAATGCACAATTAGTTTCAATATGTTAGGATTTCCTCTTAAAATATTCAACTCTGGAGTACGTTTCAACTCATTTAATCTAAATAAAACCGTTTTAGGCGATAAACAGAACACATTCATGTGATGTTTTATAAATTCATCTGGAAATTCTTCTTTTTTAAGTATTTCATAAATCTTTTTAAAATTTCTCGGTGTAATTGTTGCTAATTTTGGGTATCGTCTCATAGCTACTTTCATATCTAAATCATGCATAAAAGGCATTTCTTTTATGATTGTTTTAGGGTAATTAGGATTGGTTATTAAAACATAATTAAATCCGAGAAGTTTTTTTGGGGGAAAACCTATGCTTAAAGCAAATTTGATATTTTCTGAGATATTTTGAAAACTTTTATAATTTAATGTACGATACTTTCTAAATGTTGTTTCTATTTCTGTCGGTGTTGCCTCTAAGCGCCATTCTATACATTTAATAATAAAAGTTAAATAAAATTAATTATTTTTATTAACAAACCTAGATATTTCTTTATAATTACTGCATGGATTTTCGCAACCATATCTTGTTCATTATATTTATACCCAATCAAAAAATCTGAGGGTTTTGGATCTAAATGTGTTAAAAGATTAGCAAAAACGTTGCAATCTTTTGATAAAAATGACATATTTTTTAGTGTCTTCACAGTTTTATAAAGTAATTTCCTAAAACTACACAAAAATAAGTAAAAATATAAAATTAAATTTCCTTAATTACTTCACTAGAACAGTTGGAGTTACATCCTTGAATCCCACCTCCTTTAAAACAAGACATTGATCTTGTAACTGCTTACATGATCTTCTTAAAAGTACACCGTTATTTATAATTTCTTCTTTTGTAAATCCGAGTGATGATAATAAATTTACATTTTCAATTATATTTTCTTTGTCTACTCGTGTTAAACCATTAGATTTAACTAATTTTAAAGCGTAAGATTTTGATAATCCTAAAATAAGGTTGTTTTTAAATTAATTAAAATATAATAACATGTGATTCTAACCTAAACATTTTTGGATGGTATCGCATGATTCTTGCATCGTTGAATTTAAACGATTTTGCGAAAGTTGTGCGTACTTAATACATTTCAGAAATGTACTTAATTTATTTATATACATTTTTAATTGAAAATTTAATTTTAATTTTTTTTTAGGTTATGTTTACATTTTGATTTATTTAGTTGTCATACTGTAAGGCCATCTATACATAACAAGACAAAGTATGGATTACAAAGTTTCGTTAAAAGAGGTCACTAGTAAAGAAATTTATTTATTGTCTTTTTATAAACAAGTTTACTTTTAATTATTAATGAAACTTTGATAAATGTATTTAAAATAAACATAATAATCTTTCGGTGAATAATAAAGAAATATTTAAGAACAATAAGGGGTTATGTCAAGTTTAACAAAAACATATGGTAACTCTGATTTCGCTTAATAAAACGTTTTTAGGATTGTTAGTTTTTCACCACGTGTTATTGGAAATAGTTCGAAATTTTTTTTGATTCTAAAGAAATTCTTTTATACGAATTAGAATTCTCTTTCGATCACGTGGTTACTCTAATACGAATCATGACCAATCAAGGCAATCATCGTCGGCGAAAACATCTATGGCGGACGATGTTGCTCGGATGTTCCGTGTTTTTTATTGAATTACCTTAACCTAATTATTTTTCGAATGTAATAGTGACCGAGTGAGTTTAACAATGGGACCTAAAAAGACATCGAAACCAACAGTTCCAAATAAAAAGACCGTAAGACCGAGTAAATCTACGAAAACCGGGAGCAATGGTAAGACTTCATTTTTTGTTTTGACCTTCGACACTAAGCGAGATTTCGATTATATTTTTATAAATTATTTACATAAACATGCTGTATTATCTTCGAGGTAATCGCGGGAACATATTGTTTTTGTCACCAAGTGTGGCTAGTTGTTATTTTAAGATTGTAGTTACTGTGGACTTTTGATTTATTTTTAGGTTATGGTTTATTATGTCAACTTCAAATATTTACGATTGTATATTGTTTAAGAAAAAAAAACACTTTAAATTAACGATTAATAATGGATAATGAGCTTGTTTATCTAACATGGTACAATTTTGTTTATGATATTAATTTTATTTTTATGTAGTATAATTTATTTCCTTATAACATAAGATGAGTCATAAATTTGTGATAAATGTCAGTTTGACAGTTTCCGTCTCGTTGACAACTTTAATTTTTATTCAAACTGTCAAATAAAATAAATTAATTAAAATATGAAGACATTAATTTACAGGAACACCTCTAAAACGAGTTCTTACCTCGTCTAAAACGTTTCTAGGAATGGGTTAATTTCGTTCAAATTGGGCTTGAAATTACATTTTTCATAAAATTAACTAGAGTCGTATATACAGTGTTTCCCAAAAGTAACGCACAAATTCCATTTATTCAGAAAAATAGCAATAACCATACGTAACCATGGCAACCAATTGTTTCAGATACTTTATTAATGACAAAAATAAAAAATATGTTTTGGAAGATAGAGATTTAGATGCCTAACAAACGGATATTAGGATCAGAAAATTAGAAGTGTAAATTAATTTAGAAATGTCCAAAATCTATTTACTCTAAATGGAGGGTAAACACGCCTGTTGTCGATCACTTAAGACAAATTTCATATTCAAAAGTCGATAAAAGTGGCCTTAAGGACACTATGAACTAACTTATCTGTTCAAATTAAGATACGCAAAACATTTTCATTTGTAAATCAACACCAGGTCAAACTAGAACAAAATAAATAAAAAAATATTCTAAAGGAATTTGAATAATACCAGGTGAAACCATTTTTTTCATCAATTAAGAACCTCATCTTATCCTTTATAACCGTTTAACTGACGTCGATTAATTGTATTGATTTGTAACGGGTGTGACAGTGTAATATAAAAGCTGACGTCTTTATCTTATTAATCAACATTTGTTGCGACTTGAACTTTCTGTCAATATCATTTTTTTTGGCTAATTCCCTCGCTGTTACTAAGGATGATTGGAAAACATTTTCTTGGTAATTATCAAGCCAATGTGTCTTCGTGTCGTTTTGCCTGCTACAATTGAACTTCCTATATGATAAGAGCAACTACAACTAACTAACCAACTGACAATTTGTTGTATTATCTGCTAACGGCTTCCGCCGATTCTATACTGCATTCACATCTAGTTTCCGCAAGCGGTTTTATCGATAGCACTCTGACTCAAACCGGAAAATAGAGTATATAGCCTTTGTGGCAAACCAAAAAAAAAAGATTTTGCTTGAATACAAGACTCCTGGGATGAGTGTATCTCTCTTAGGTGATGATTGATTAACTTAGTGATGAAAAAGTCAGAATTTGGATTAATATCAAGTACACATTTCTGGAGCACTAGTTCTCTGCACACATTGGTTTTATTATCATGTCGCATTATCATCTCACCAATACCTGGTATGTGCGCTCTGCAGTATTTCATCGTGCTCCAGATGTTCCCCAGTGGAAATGTTCTAGTAAGTATGCAGATCGATGACAAAAAACTTGGTTTAACTATACCAGAAGCTGTTTATCAGTTCATTGTACAATAGAGCAATAATAATACTTGGGTGGCACTTTGATGGCATTCTTGGCAGAGTTGACGCTAAATCAGAAAATATTGTAAAATTATATATGTATATGAATACAAAGTATTAAGAAATGTGGGAAGCCATAGTGGCTTTGCTTAAATTTAATCTACGGGTGTGACATTGTGAAGTAACGGGTGTGATAGTGTAAAATAAAAGGTTGTCGCAGTCTGGATTTAGATAACGAAAATGTCTGATTGGAACACTTTCTTATTTTTTATACTTTTAAAATATTAAAATGAATTCAGGTAGATATCAAAAATTTATTTTTAGTTATTTTTGAGATTGTTATCGAATTTATTAAAAGTTGTTGTTTAGGAGTTATTATCAAAAAAGGTTTTGAAAGCGAACGTGATCAGTGAATGGACTACAAAAAATAAACATTTTGCGACACTTTAACCGCGATTTGACGAGCCATTTGGACTATGACCTTATTTTTAAAATTGAGTCCCTGCTTTGTTTTGCGATTATGTATTCGACAAGTTAATGATGGTTAAAAAAAACTTGTTTATATATCATTCTAAAATGAACATAAATCAACCGGTATTAAAAGTGCGTCCTTGAACTCTCCGCGATTATTTTCGTAGAATTGATCAAACACAATTTTTATAAAGAGGTTTAAAGAAGAAAGAAATCCAATATAAATCTGGTTATTGATAGAATAGGTTATAAAATTGTATAAAAGGTGTAGTTTTTTTTTATGTAGTTATTTCTATTTATTTTTTTGTATGTTTTCATATCATTGAAGGTTGCCTTTTCAATTTTCACCGTCAGATGGTAGACGTTTTGTGCTGGTCCGCTTTGATGAAACTCACGGGAGCGAAACTAACCAAGCATAATCGAGTTGACGCCAGATTTGGAAAGTGGTTTTACAGGTGTATGTTTTGTTAAGGGTCGCCATTCGACCTTTCTTTTTTCCTTTCGAACTTTTAAATTAACCTCCCACGCTTTTTTCTCGTTTAACTTCACACTTTTAACCCTCCCCTGTACAAAACGTATAAGTAATTTGTTTTCGAACATTTTTAATCCGACCTTCACGTTATCTTCTTTACATTTATTACAAAAACAGCTTAAACCAGGCGATAACCAGATTTAATCATGAATGAATATTATGTACAACCGCTAATGACGCTCTAAGTGCTTCAAATTTCGTGATTCACGGTGTAAATTTACAACGTGTGGGGTGATATCGGACGTATGTAGTTTTGTTGCACAATTATTTATTAAACGATCAACTCACTTTGGATAATATTTAATCTAGGGAAACATAATAGGATTATAAAGTAGTTGTAACCTTAAACAATTCAATGATGAATAATGCAAACTTGGTTTTCGTTTCTAGTAATAAGTAAACACCATAAACTATGCCTTTGTGACATTTTCACTGACGTCGATCACTTAGAATTGTATTAAAATTTTGTGACAAACAATGACTTTTATCGTTTTATTTTGGAAAATAGGAAGTTTACTTTTATCTCGTAATTTTTATCACGATTCTTACGAATCTCGTTATTTGAGATGATTTATACGAAGCATTTTTTATTTGGCTCGTTTGACTTGGAATCGTGCTCAATGATGGTGATGACTCGTTAAACACGATTGCAGCATTGACGTCATACAAGATCTCCTTCTCTCTCTCGGTGTGTTGAAAATATCGAGCGTGACAACCAGCTTAATTCGGGATTATTAATGGCAAGGAATTACTAATGAGTTAGTATTGTTATCTTTTTTTGTTGATGAAAAGGGAAAGTAAAAAATAAGTTAAAAAATTTGGTGTTAATATTTTTATTAATTATAAAATTAAGGTGATAAGAGGAAGTGATAAGGACTCTGGAGCAGATCAAATCAAGGCAGAAATTTTCAAACTGCTGGATGATGTGGCTGTAAAAATGCTTTTGAAGAAGACTAAGGGGGAGATTGTAAACTAGGTGGCCCAACCAGGTAAATGAGAAAACACCATTCAGCTTCAAGAGGTACAACACTGCCAGTTATGGAGGAATAAAATAGAAGAATGCTCATAAACATGGAATCACTTCTTAGTTATGAAAATACGACGCAGAAGAAGAATATTAATATTAATTAAGAATATTAAGGTCAAGAAAAAATTATAAAAAAGTTGTTATAGGCCTGATTAAATTATTTTTATGCAAATAGCTCCCAATACTATCTTTTAAATTATTATTTTATTATATTTTCATGGTTATACACAATATTTAACCTTTCAATAAATTATAGACTACGGATGATGTAAGAATTTATAACTAATTCAGGTGTGGTTATTTCTAGAGTAAATCGTCATAAATCATTTTTATAAATTCCCCTTTACTATACATAATGTGATATCTTAATTTGTTATTCTCACGGTGTATAAGTGGACATTAAAAATTTTAATTGATTTTGTAATAATAATCATTTTGGAATTCGTCAATGTGGGTTAATCTATAAAAAAATGTTAACTTCAGAACGAGGTCATCAATTAACGGAAATTTTAAAGAAGGTTAACGATAAAACTTGTCAATCATTTAGTTTTTTCTTAAATAAATTTGATATTGAAAATTATCGTAAAAGATTACACAAAGAAGTGCTTCCTTAAACATTTTATTTCTTAAATCCTGCGTTAAGGTTAAATCTGTCGGAACTAAATTGAAATAAACATTTATTTTCTAGGAAATGAAGATTTGCAGGAAGGAAATTAAAGTTGTGTATGTCCAACTACGTGGAGCGCAAATTTTCTTGATAGTAAATCACTTAAAAAGCGCTTTATTGAACTTTCGTTTATTTAGAAAGACATGAACTTTTTGTTTGTTTGAGGTGATCTATTTAATTTGTTACGGTTTATTACATTTTTGTTAAATAACTTGGTTTCATGTATTTATTTAAGAAGACTCTTTTATTTGTTTATAGTGAAAGTTTATGTCAATTTGATCGTATAAACTGACTTGATTTACATTATCTGGGAAATTGGCACAATTAAATTGCAGCAGTTGCCGCTAATTATAGTAATTAACACTAGATTGCGTACAATTTATATAGCAAATGCGGTAGTGGAAAACACGTTATATCATCAAATCGAAGGAGTTAGGTTTTATGTACTTTTTAATTTGACTTAAATAAGTCAAAATAAATCAAAATCAAAGTATTTTATTATTATTATGTCATACTTGCCAAGATGATCTACATTATCCTTTATAACGATGTCAACACGTCGTTTTAAATCCTTTTTTATACACACGAAAAATATTTAAAGTTCAGAAGATTTACATAAACGGGCAACCAGAATTAAGCGGATACTTATTTACGCCAGAATCGCGTTGTTGAGTAGGTATATTTGCCTGACCTTGCGGTTTATTCAGTCTATATATAATTAATGCTATTTTTAAATTTTCTACGTCAGCATTTGTTTATGTTTTATGCGTTCTTATGTGAGACAGTTGTGATAATACAAAAGCCTCATACATACAAATAATGCATCCAATTTTATTTAAATACATTATCATTATCGTCCCGAAAATATCGCATTGAAAATAAAATAAATACCCGACGCTAAACAAAGCGAATATCTTTTAACAACTCAACATTGCAAATCACCAATTACGTCTAACTGAGTTGTTTACTACTACGTGGTTATTAACGATTATATCTCCGATCCCGATACGTCTAGTAAATCATTTTAGTCTTAAACAAAGTTTCGTATGAACTCCTTCTTACTGTATTCCGTTAAAAACGAAACGGAGATCGTCCGTCCAGGTTGTTGCGAGATTTCAAAAAATGTAGAATTAACGGTAAGACAACTATTACCCAAAAGGTTTCTACTTTAAACATTTAATTAGTGTATTCATATTGTAAGTTACGGAAAAATACCGAATTTGATTACGAAATTGTTGACTTGTAAACGTTTTTGGATTTATTATAGTATTAATTATCGGCAGCGGGGTAATATAGGACAGTGGCTGCTGCTTCGTGATAAATTTACCAAACAACATGTTTTGTAATGCAAACGTTGTCGTGTTTCTCTCTCTGCGTGGTTAATATGGTCGTTAATTGTGATTAAGTGTATATTGTGGATTTGTTATGTCTTTACTAAGAAGGGCATCTATATAAGTGATTATAAGAAACCCAGATAGAGTGTTATAATCATTTTGTAAGTTTTATTTCCTAAATATTGAAATCACCAAAAAAAAAAGTAAATAAATAAACTGTTGCATAATTCAACAATTTTGTTTTATTCCAAATTTTATAATCAAATTGCAAACCTTTAAAAAATGTTTGAATATAAAATAGCATAAATATATTGAATACGGGGAATCAACAAAATTAAATAGGGAACTGGCCAACACAACACGAAGACGTAACATTATAAGCTCATCTACTATATGTGTCTCATTACTGTACAAAAAGTTGTAAAGTGCAAGATAGAAAGTGGATAAACACTTGGGGAACACGACGCAAGAGAACAACTTCAGAAGACCAAGTGCCATACGAAATAACCATCTGTTTATGGTTTCTCAAGTAATAAAAACAACAAGTTGAAGAACGACTAAAGACCAATAAGGTGTTTCTTTCACCTCGATAAAAAGCAGCAATTTGGAGTTTATACAAATGATACTTTTAACATGCGGAAGATAATACTCAAGAAACGTTACTTTGTTATTCATAAAATACTTATAAAACAGGTTTCTAATTCAATATTATTTATTTATTAATATGACCTTTTTCAGAAATACAATAAATTTTTTTATTAAGTTTTTTATCTCCTTCCAAAATATTGGGAAAATCTCTTTATCTCAACAGTCTCTCAAAAAATGCTTGAGTTGCAAAGACGAATTGCAATGTTAAAAATAAAAGAGTTTTCTTTTAAAGGAAATGGAGTATCTCGATAAGAAGAATGAAAGCATTTTTTTATTGTAAAGTTGTTGCCATGAAGATACCATAACCAACAAGGCTTTTAAAAGTGTCTCCATCCGGGGGGATGAAAATAAACTTTTGCAAAACCGAATATAAAAGAAGAAGACTATACATGAGTATACAAGAAAGGTCAACAAGATAATAAAACGAACAGATGGACCTGTTTGTTTCAATTGGATAAAGACAAGAGAACCAAGTGTTTCAATTGCAATAATTTTTTGAATAATTTGCTGAAAGTTAAGAATCGAAACAACATCGAACCCCAGAGAGTCAACATAATTAAGGAAAAAAGTGTGCAGAAGTGATTATTAAACAATTAATTAACTTTTAATATTGCACACATGTCTGCAACAAAATAACTGAATATTTGTTCTGTATATATGTAGCTGCATAAGAAATTGAAGGAATAGTTTCATTTCCAGTATTTGAAATAAATTTTCCTCTCTAATGATTTACTTCTTACTTGAACAATTTAAAATATTTTAGACTATAAATAAAAGAAAAAGAATGATTAGGATTTAAATTTTCCTCACTATATATAGTCTTCAAATAATTAATTACTCCTATTATTTAAATATTTCAATTATTTTAAATTCTAAAGCTGTTACTAGTTATTAAGTAATCTTGCTTAATAACTAGTTAGAGGTGATTTGGTGATTCATCTAATGCTGTTAAAAAAAAGATGTATACAACTAAGTACTATGTTCGTTTTGATGCAATTTTAATTGCAAAAATTTCAATAGCAGTTTGATTGCATTCGTAAATTTTGTTTTGATTTTTTTTGCATTCGGAATTTGCTGAATACTTTTACCTCAGACATGACGATAAATGAATCGTGAAGCATGTTTTGACACTTGATGTTGATTAACGTTTCTATTCAACGCCGATGCAATTCCCTGCACACACGTTGAATAACCGCGATATAACTTATAATTGTGTTTATTATGAGCGATGTCTAGACAAAAATACGTCCGATGTCGTCAATTCCTTTTAACAAAAATAGTCGTAAACTACTTTACTACTACGTTTAATAAAAAAATCTTAAATGTTGGTAATAAGTAATAAAACAACATCTTAATTATAACGATTGAGTCGACAATAACATAAGATTGATGAGCGCGTGTATTTTAGTGTTTCTAAGTATCCGTAATTAATTTATTCTTATAGGTGCAAAAAAAAACAAATACTTTTTGATGGTTTAAACCTTCAACTTATAATTACATTACACGAGTATGACGGCTGGACCAAAATGGCAATAAAGAACAAACTACTTTTATGTGGAAACCTACCGGATGCATCAAAAATTCCACGGTTGAGATGCACATTATTCTCGTATGGTCAAAAGGTTGATGAACCTTGAAGAAACAAACATTGACAAAACAAAAACTTTAAATTGTTTATTTTATGTATTGTTTGTTTTAATTTTTAACAAAATAGTGGAATAGTAGAAAACGAGATAATCGTTCGTGACAGACCATTAGAAAACAAGAACAAAATTATAAAATTTATAAATTTATTTATCGCATGCTAATTATCAGTGACTAATTTAAGTCATATGCATTCTTGTTATAAGTAGCTCGCGATATAATGGAAAGAATGGAAAAATAAACGTTTATTTTCAAAATTAACCATTTTTAATTGAAATGAAATTTGTTTTAAAACTACAATTAATTGTAGTAATGTTTAAATTTTTAACAAAGGCAATTTGTATTTTAATGAGTTTTTTTAATGATATGTTTAATAATTAATTTGTTTGTATTATATCTTTCTCATAGATTTTTAATACAGTAAAACCTCGATATAACGATTCGTTAGAACGGAATTCGGATATAACGGACAAAATATTTCTAGTGATAGTGCTACTATAAAACTAGAACTAATACTAGATCTAGAACTAGAAACATTCGGGTTTAGCCGCACGTCTCTCAAGACGGCTAAACCCGAATGTTTCTAGTTCTAGGTCTAGTGTTAGTTCTAGTAACAGTGCTAGTGTTAGTTCTAGTGACAATACTAGTATAAAACTAGAACAAATACTAGACCTAGAAATATTCGAGTTTAGCCGTGCCATTAATTAATTGTATTTATTATTAAATCACACAATTATTAAATTAAATTTGTACTCTGTAAATTTTTTTTTTGTTGAAATATTGCAATTTTAATCGACCTGTTAAATTCCATTTGAGGTGTAAATTGCTGTTAATTTCATAATTTGTAGACCTCCAATCTTGTTATTTATTTCCTTATCGCTACATAACAAGATCATCAATAATAGATGTTTTTTTTTAATATTTTGCGTCATCGTTGTTTTCAGGAACGAAAAAAGCTGAACAAGAATCCGATCCTGAAAAGCCTTCTACTTCGAAAGATGGTAAGTTTCAAAATTAAAAATTTAATGTATGTATCGTTTAATACCTGAAACGAGAACATGTGGATTGCACAAACTTTTGTGCTACATGTTTTTATCTTCCTTGACCTGTTTTCAAATGTAATTTAAATAGAAATTTATTCCTATACTTTATCTCGTATAAATATATTAAAGTGTAGAAAGCCAATAATAAACTGCAAATCGTTAATTATTGTCGTTTATGTCTAATTCTGTTTATCTAAATATGATTCAATATCGTACTTTGAACTATTTACAAAGGCAAACAGAGCATTATTTATTACTAGAACTAAACTATGAACACTATTTCCAAGTATTGTTTAAATTTATAAAGTGAAAGTTATTTATAAAACGGTGCTCTATTTATATTATAAAGAAAAAATAAAAAAAATAATACATAATTAACATTTTACATTGCGATTCTGTTATGGACATTTACAGTTTCGCGATTAAACATTATCAACAGGAAAAAGTAAACAATTTCTTGAAGGTTGCAATTGCACCGAAGTAAATAACATTTTATAACATTCTCAGCCCAATTACGAAGGGAATGTATTCATTTACATAAACACGCCGCAGTTCACACAGTTCTCGAGTAGAAAGTTTATTTGGCGAATATAATTTCGTCAAGTATCAAATTTTTTTTTTTAATCACTCAATCAAAATAAAATATATAAATTTTCATATTTAAAGCTATAAAAACCACTTTATGATTTAAATTTATTATTTCAATTCAAAAGATGATTTGTTGTTACGAAATTTGACCATTTGATTGTTCACAATTGCCTTAACTGTTCCAAATATTTAAATTGGCTGTATTCTCTATGTGGGCCAAACGGGAGATGAGTTTTAAAAAGTCTCCAAAGCGGCATCAACAGCGCTTAAAAATATGTTTTTGTACGTTTGGTCGAAGAAGTATTCTAAATTGCGATCAAAAAGTTTATCAAAAGCGTATCAAGTAATGTGACCCGGACTTTCGCTATTCAATTGTGGCGTGTGGAAAAAATGTCGGCCATCGAGACATCTCCCCGTTATGGTTCGCGCTCAATAACAAGCTGTAGATTGATGTTAACGAACTCAATAGGTCAAATTTGTCAGATTGATAGCTACAGTGTAATGGTTATACACAAAGAAAGCACGTGACCGTCTTATCTATTCTTTCAGACTGAAAACAGATGTATTCTTATGTTGTTAAAAAATTTTAGTTTAAAAAGCACAAATACAAAGTTCTAAAATTAAAACACTGGTATTTCTATATTAGAATTTACTTATGTTATCACTGATTCTTTTAATTGAGATGGTACGATATGAGATAAGTCAATTAAATTTGAAAGAATCTGTATTGAGTACCGATACTTTAATTGTTTTCAAGTTGTTGACAAAAACAATTCTATTTCATTTTCAGTCAGTTTTTCCTTGTTGTGATAACATGTTTCTGAAATTATATGTTAAGAATATTTTATTTTTAATGTGTTTTAGACTTTTTTGGAAAGCAGCAAAGTTTCTTTCAAGTAATTTTTCAAGTTTCCCGTTTCAAGATTTGAGATTTTTATGATGACTTAAGTTATTCATATGTTGCTGGTGTGCTGCCCTATCTTTCTTCTCTGTTGTTTCATCTTTTCAATTTCTGTCTGGAGTACTGGACAGCTTCTGTTATTTCGGTTCCAAGTATTTGCAGTATCTATCTTCTGCCAATAATACTTAATCTTCTTCAAGCAGTTTCTAGACTATTAAAACAATATATAGACTTCTGTAGACAGTTTCTGTCTTCTGCTAACAATATTTAATTTTCTGCCAGTAGTTTCTAGGCTACTTCAAGCTGTATATAGACTTGTACAGACACTATCTATCTTCTGCCAACAGCTTCTTGACTATTAGATTTTGTAACAATAAATACCTAATTGTAAATTCTTAATTAAAAATCTAGATATATTGAATTTCTAACTAGTGTGACATTTTTAAGTAAATATTTTCAAAAAAAACTTTAGTAAACCGTATATTTCAGATAAATATATGAATTTCAATTGAATTGCAAACGAAATGTTATCGTTTTCTTTTTCATAGAAATATTGGGTTATGATAACGTTGCAACTAAACTCCAATTTAATTGTTAAAAATTGTTTTCACGTTCCAATTGGATTGATTAAACATAAATCACCCTTTTTTTTTAAGAAAAAGTATAGATTAGAAAGTATAAATTCTTGTAAAACTAAACCAACATTCTTCTAAAATTAGTGTTTGATTACATAGTTTCCTTTATGTTTTTTACTTATGCGTATATTTGATTTGATTTATGACCAACCTCGAGTGGGGAGATACTCCTAAGCACTCGTAATGTGTGACCTTGTTCTTATGGTTGTTGTATTGATTTTCCTAATACACAGTCAACGTACTTGTTATTAACACCATTTATTATGTCGTTAAATCACATACGAGTAATTCTTCGATTTAACTTAGGTGTTAAGATATTAAATAAAATTTTTTCTTCTTTAAAAAATGATTTATCATGTTTCCGCATTTCAAGGCAATCACGGTTATGGGGGACGATTTCCGGAAGAAGTGAAAGTAGTATTTCCAGTACTGCAGGTGATTTTACTTTTTAAACGTAACACAAATTTGGTGTGAAGTTTTCTTTACGTAAAAGTTTTTTTTAATGAGCTTTCAATTTTGACTAAAAGAAACGTTTTTTTATATCCATTAAGAGAGGTTAAATTGTCTAATTTTTTTTACATAATACTAAAAGATTTAATTTAATACCTGTAGAATACGATAACAAAAAGCATCTTTATCTAGTTAATAGTATCTACTTCAATTCGGGTTTAGTTCCTTTTGTACTTGTGCAATCCTCGAAACGTTTAAGTTAATTTGGGGTAACCTTTTATCTTTCTTATCTTATTTTTTGTTCTTGTTCTCAGAATATCGTATAGCGTGTCTAAGATTCGTGCAGTTTTTATTCGTGCACTGCTTTATTTACCACGATCGTAATTCGCACTAATTATTTAAAAGCATTCCAACGATTACGACATTGAATTACTTGGCTCTTATCTGACAGTTTCGTTGTGGCCACCCTACCATTTACAACGTTTTTTCTTAAGGCCCTTTTAATTTGGATTCTTTAGAACGTAAGTGATTTTCATTCATATTTTATTCACTTCACGTTCGTTGTAATTGTTATCGGATAAAAACAATTTTAGAATAAACTAATTCATCCTAGACCAAACTAGATTATTCCAACATACTAAAATTATAATTACAGTTATTAAAAATTATTTTTTTTTAAGTATTTAAGTATAAATTCGAGTATTGAGTTGTTTGTGTATTCGAGATTATTTTGAAATAAACAAAAAAAATAACTCCTTTTACTTTTTTTTACCATTCCAACTACTTTTATTTGTAACCTGAGTGTTTTAAGTGTTTCGTATTGTTTAAGTCGAATAATTTCGAGCATCTCAATGCTTAAGATTAACTGCCAAAAACTTGGCGCCTGTACAAGTTCCATCGAAAGGAGCGAGCTATTCTTATTCCTACACTACTAGGTTAATGTATTTTGTCATTAGATCCCTGAATTATTTTCAACGTAGCCTTAAGGCTTGAATTTTTAGAGTCACGTTTTAAATAACTTTATTGTTTTAAAGTAATATGTTAGCTTATCATTTTATAAAACAAATTACTTCAGCAGGTTGAATAGAACAAAAGATTTGCAAACGTTGTAAATTTGTTTAGATAACGTCTTTTCAATTTTGAGGTCACGTTATGAATTGAAACTATAATTTTTTATTAACCTTAGTTGGAAACTGTAATTTTCTTTTTAATATTCAGCTAAACAAGTTGTTTGTTTGAAAACAGGCCAAGAAGAAAATATACTCTTTCATTTCTGAGAGGGTACATTTTTCCATCCACTGTTTGTTACATCGGTTCGATAACCAATTAAAAGGCAATCGCACGAACAATAAGTTAGCACAGCGGACAAAGCGATAAGAAGCCAAGCAAATGATCTTTGGTCTTTCTATTTACCGAACGGTTCATTGCCTCGACGTTTAACGGTAGTATTTACACTGTTTAGCATTAGAATTACCATTAGTTATTTTAACATGCTTTTACACACGTTCACCAGATTCGAACAACAAAAAATTAAACGTTTCTTTCTTAGAAACCGCAGATAATCGAAGTAAATTATTGTATAATGATGTTTTTTAAAAACACTTTGTTAAATTATCAGTACTTTTTAGCAAAAATCACTTTGTTGACGAACTTCTTTTCGCCTTAATGTCACGAGCCACATTATACTAACGAGAATGCCTAATTAGTTTATATGATTTCCATAAGTCGAAGTCGACGGAAAAATTTTATGACATATAATGTCCCATCATTAACAACGGCGCATTATTTTTAATTTATTCATTTATACGAATTGACTATTAAAAAACGATATCAAGAACTCCGAAGATTTTGAGCGATTTATAATCACGCAATATTTAATTTGGGCTTAGGAATTTCGAATCATAAATGGTGTTACCACCAGCTATAAGTGGTCCGATTATTATACAAGATACCACAATAGACGGGCAACGACAAATTTACTTACTGATAAGCTAAGTAAATGTTTGCCACCATAATATTTAATATCATGCTCTATTGTCTTGTGCATTTGCAAAAAAAATCACTATTTTCATTTGTTATTCTTAAAAAATGATTGGGATAGGTTTTAATTTGATTACAATTTCTTAACTTGTTGTGGTTACAGTAATTTACTACCTGCGTAAGTAAAGTCCTTGATGTAACTGTACTTATTGGTAAAGAAAGAAAAACACCTCAATTATTGAGTGTCTATCAATCATCACGCAACCCAAGATATGGTTTTGGATTATTGATATTTTTAACGGCGATAAACTAATTCTGTTTTATTAGAAAATATAATTAATTTATGCTTATAAATTAATTAATTTATATTCAAATATGTAAATTATTGTGACAGTGATTTAATC